GCTGAGTCCATTACTCTGATTACACTGCGAATAACCTCATTACGAATTCAATCATGCAGAGAAATTCCTACATCCCTCTCTATAGCTCGCTAGGCAACCTTAAACTTCCTCATACGGCCAACAGTAAACAACGTTCCAGATCCATATATCATCATCTGGCAATGCGCACTGGTTGTACATTATTGTTTTAAAATTTCGGAGGATGCGTGAAGAAAAGATGAACCTCGATCTCCTGAACGCTGCTCATCTAATCTGTTTCGCCTCGAAAGTTGCATGTTTGGCTGCGTGTTGGTTTCAACCGTACGCACGCGCACATATTATTTTCGTCGCCCAACGCTAGTCGCATATTTACGCGTTTGTCGTTGCCTACCGCTCGTTGGCAGAACACGCCGTGCACGTGTCAAAACAACAAAAACATATAAATTTGTGACCAGCAACTCTGAGTGATAACGCAAGAACAATTCGTATTAATCAGCCAATTGTGCCGAAGATCACCGCATCGCAGCTGTTGAAGTAACGCTGCCGTAATTTACGCCGCACCGTCCGCATCCGACGATCGCAGGTTTTTTTTATAGGATAGGGTGACAAACGAGCACACAGTCCAGCTGGTGTTAGTGGTTGCTGTGACCCATAGACATCTACATCTATCCTCGATTACGAATCAAAAGGCAGATGCGTTGTCACCCGTGAGGACTAAGTAGAGTGCCTCGTTTCCAGTTAAAAGGTTGTCCGGTTCCCTACACTCACCATACGAAACACAGCAGCATTAAGCTAATATTTTACGCTGGTATTCTGTGAGGGCATGGTTATTCCCCGGTCGAGCCGACCTGTTCGTGCTACAACTATACTAGTAGTATATAACTGCAGCATGGCTCTAACACGTAGAATGTGGTGAGCTTATTTGGTCTTATGCACCTGCTGGTCCTTCAAATTATCTACTTAACTTAAGTCAGCGTCTACCTGGGGGCCTGAGCTATCGTAGGCAGTAATTAACAGCCCCCAACGCTTCCTGCCTTCCGCATAGACCAGGTTTTTAGGCCACCCCGCATACAATTTCTGGTTTTAACTCGAGTTGCAGATTCTAACAAAATCTGTGGTTTAAATCCCGCATTTAATTTAATTTAATTAATAAGTTAGTGGCTCATAGACGTACCCACCAGTTATCGTTATGAAAGATTATGTCTTAAGAAGGATTATATCTGCGAACAAATCTTTTATGTTATATCATATTGCAGATAAAAGAAAAAAATTAAAAAGGATTCTTAATATACAATAAGAGAAAGAGATTCTTTAACGTTAAGGGAATAAACGGCGTACTATTAGTCTTCAGACAAATACTGAAGTTGTCCAATAAATACGGAATTTTCGCCATTGTTTCCAGATTCCGACCATTAATCATTTTTACGTTCGCAATTAATACAAAGAATCTGATGACAATAAGGACCGTAAGAAGTTCTTGTAACTGATATCTTCCATATTTTTCCAAAAAGCATTTATATTAATTACTTGGAATGTGTACATTACATATCATTTTTTAAAGAATAAGGATAACAAACGAGCACACAGTCCAAGATAAGTGAATGCTGAGGCCCATACATATCTACATTTATCTTCGATTGAAAACCAAATTAGAGATGCTTTGTCTCACCCGAAATGCTTGGTTCTCTAAGCTCACCAAAGGAAACACAGCAGTATTAAGTTGCTATTTTACGCTGGCATTGCGTGAGAGCGTGGTCCTTCCCCGGTCGAGCCGACCCATTCGTGCTACAACCATAATATAGCTGCAAAGTAGCTCTACCACGTATAATTCATAGGTGGGTATAATTCAGTGGGTGGCCATAGACATCTAAATTTATTATCGATTAAGAATAAAAAAGGAATATGCGTTTTTACTATTCAGGACTAAGATGGAATGTTTCATTACCAGCAAAAGAGTCTGCGAGTCTATACACTCACCATGTACGTTGGTATTCTGTGAGAACGTGGTCCTACCCCGGTCGGCCCTAACCATCGTCCTTTAGCAATGTATAACTAACATAGCTGTATCATGGCACGGAAAAACTATAGTAGGTATAATAGTATACCTACACTTGTTCGTTTCTGAAAGCTAATAGTTTTAAAAATAACTTAAAAATTAATTATTTAATCATACATTATTTTATATGTTTTTCTGGAAATCTAAATAAAGAAACGTATTAATTAATACTCTTATTTTTTTAGTTTACAACAATTCCGTTAAGAGTTCGAACCCACTACTCACGACATGCGATAGTAAATGATAGTCGCAACAATAAATCTACAGTAACCACCTGGATCGAAACATGTAAGTATGTCTGATTTTTGTTTGTTGTTTTGATTTTTCTTTTCATAACAGTCGCTTAAAAAAAGGGATTGTAGCGATAACTATATCATAAATTTCCAGATTTTGTTGTAATTTGATATTTCTTTGAAGTGAGTACAATAACAGGAACAAATGAATTTAACCGATGACAAATGGCCTTGCTCAAGTCCCCTAGAGTGTCTAAGTTATGGTGACAGATGACCGCTGCGTAAACACTTGGCAAATGCTTTCATGCCGATATCGCTCGTTACTCATGCGGCCTAGTTCGATTAATTACATTGCTGTCAGTTCTTTTTGTTCAATTGTAGCTTGGGTGACCTTAGATTTAAGAATTAACGAAACAAGTACATTGTTTGTTTTATATTCAAAGAAATTAGAAATTTAATAGCATGGATCTTTAATTACTTTTATACAATCGGTAACTGATGTCTGACAATTTTAGTGTTGGGAAAAAGAGTCAGTTGGGGAGTAGTAGAGCATTACTAGTTACAACTGTGTGCTTTTGGAATCGATAAAAGCTAAAAGTCCAAAATATATCGCGAATGCGTTTAGTTACACCGCAAAAACGGTTTTTGTAATAAAAATTACATTTTGTGGTTTCCAGCTTCTATTTAGAGTATAAATTGCAATATTACAATAATACCTGTGTTCAGCAGTGGAACTAATGAAATCATTGACATTCTATGGTCAACTGGCCTAAAATTGTATAATTTCTACATCTAGAGAAAGTTTACCGGTACCGTTACTGTTACAGCCAATCTGAAGTCAACTGCTGGATAAGAGCCTCCCCTACTTACCTCATAGTGGGGATATTTGCCATAGTTGCCACGTTTGGCAGGCAAATTGGCAACAGCGTTTTTATTTTTATTGGTATTAGGAAGACACCATTGCCTTCTGCTGCTTTGTTTCCCTTTTTTGCCTCTTACGACACCCACGGGATGATATAGTATTCATACACCGCCACTACACATGTACATGATAGTTTCAGAACAATAGAAATGAAATAAAACGTCATAGATCTGTCATAAAAACCATCAATATTTTTATTCAGTAACTATTTACATATATACACAGCCTTATTACTAGCATAATTGATAATTGATTACTTCTATTTACACCACGTTGCAATCATAATACATAATTACACAAAATCTACAAAAGTAACAAAATTTGAGGTATGCTATATAAATGTATAAATATCGGTAAACATTTAAGTGTACGAATAATGGAATATTATTTATTCAAATAATTTCTGGTACGTTTAAATGCAATTAAATCATTATAAACAGATATACTAATTTGTTATATTTAACATAGTACTTAAGTAAAGTAGTAATTAAATACTTATTATATGTAATAAAATATATAATCTTATTTGAAGCTTGTTCAGTTATAATTTAAAAATTACTTTCTAAGTAAGAAGCTATCAAATTTGAACAAAATCTTATTTTTTATTATAAAAATATTAGAATTATTTTGTGAAGAGAAGACCTTTTCTCATTCATCCAAAAGAGAAAGTTTCGCTGCACTAATTGAGTGCAAATTTATTTAGCAGATAAAATATTTTTCGAATTCATATTTATTCTTTATGATTTTTTAACAATTGATCAGGTAATGAATCAAAAATTAAGTAAAATACGAATACAGAAATTTTAATGGAGCCGACGGACATTTAACACCTGATTCTTGAGTATTGTGAATTTAGGGAAGGCGCCCGGGCAATTATTACATTTAATTATTAAAAATTAAGTACAATCTCATTATAACGTACCAGATTATAATTTCTGTTAAGATTTTACTACTGATAAGCTAACAACTTTTAGGTCCCATTATAAGTTTTATGCCTAGTCTGAGCATAAAATTAATAATATCAGGAAGCTTACGAATTATCCGAATACACATATTACTAAATATCACCTGGTGAATTGAACTAGTATTTTTAATACATACATTTGCTATAAATTTAATAAGAAACAATTCTTAGAACTGAGAGTTTAAAAATATGTCAGGCCACAAACATGAATATCTACATTTCAACTTTAAAAGTAATTTATATTGATAACTTGGAGTTAATGCCTTTTAAGGTACAATAGATTTTTTTAGATATTTTTCTATTCGAATAACATAAATACAATATTAGATATAATTTTTTAAGCCGCCTGTATTCGACGGCTTAATTTTATTACCAGAGCAGTTAATATTCAATAGTATAAATGCAAATAAATTTAAAGTAGCTAATACTGGCCAAAATTTTCTTATTCAGTTAATTCGATTTTTTTAATTTTTTTAACAAATTCGTTAACATAACATATGTTAACGAATTTGTTAAAAAAATTAAAAACTTACATTTTTACATCGTATACGATACGATATTTGAGCTGAGTTGACGTCATCCGGAAAACTACTCACATAGTCTCGTATAATTAGCGTAGTAAATGTCAATGTTGAGAAATGACAAAAATTATGTAGACTCCGAGATATGGAAATTACTAGAATTATATGACTATAATGCTGACTAGAAATAGAACAAAATTATAACGAATTGTAGGCTTAGAATATCTTTCAATGCTATTAACACAAATAAACACAGGAATTTTCTACATATCAGTCAGTGGTGTAAATTTATTTCTAAAAAACCTATTAATTTAGGCTCCAGTTGCTATGTTGGCTCTTCTACTTCAGTCGTAGTTTTTCTCATTTCGATGTTTTCTGTTGGTGCCACCTTTAATATAGTGGTAGATGTGGCAAGTGTAACCAGATCGTCATCGACTGTTGTTAATTGTGAATAAAAGGCCCTCGGAAACAACGTACGATGTTTTCGTTTCTTTGATCTTAACTGCAAAAGCAACAAACAATATTTATGACATCATTGATTCATTACAGTCTATCAAATGTTCACCGCCGAACATACGTCTCCCCCATATATTGCCACTAATTACGGTGCTCGAGTATCCATCAACTACCTGCGTGTTTCATCAGGTCATTACTTCATCTAGTGCGAAGTTACTCAACACTTGTTTAAGACGCTTGTTTAACCTCTCAAACACCAAGCGGCCAAATTTGACCGCTTCGATATTCCGTCAAAATTCAAGCGGTCAAATATGACCCACAGCACTTTAATCCATAAAAACTTATATTTAGAGACTACTTTTCTATGAATAAGTTTAGCATTATAGAATCAATATAAAATTTTCTATCGTCTAGTGGAATAAAAAAGCAGATTGTCTATGGATATTAATTTATATTTTACGTTCATTACGTACGCCATTTTCATTTGGATGTTGTTGTGTTGATTTTTTGGATTTTTCTATTAGTTTAGTGTTTTATTAATGTTTTACTACAGCTTTTTATTATAAAATTGTTATAAAAGTTTTTGTGTGACTATAATTTATCTTTTTACGTAAATAATTTTCAGTAATATACAGAAATAATTGTGATTTTCACGCTGCCGACACCCGCTCGGTATATTTTTTTTTTTTGTTATAAAAATACAATAAAATCTTTTTGTAATGAAGTATAAAAACTGACTTTTATTTAGACCACAGGATAGAAAATAATGTATATATTTAATAATGCCAAACTTCTTCATAGAAAAGTAGTCTCTAAATATAATTTTTAATGGTTTTAAGTGCTGTGAGTGGGTGCGGTCGCATGCTAACGCGTGGGATTTTCCAGGCGCATGCGACTGCATGGGAATTTTATGGTGATTGAAGGGTTAAGAGATTGGCTCATAGAAGTATTTGCCATTGTCGTCACGTTTGGCAGGCGATTGGCGACGCAGATTTTGTGTTATTCCAAGGAAGATGCTTCCGCCCAGCTCCTGTTTCACTACCCTCAGTTACCTCCAACGACACAGGAATTCAAAAATATAATACAAAAGTATAGCATACATATTTTTATCTAAATTTGAGACAATATTTGTGGAAAAACTGCAGGTTGTTTTTTATCCAGATGTATTATAATGGCCACGTGTTTCTAACACCATGTCTGACAATATTACATTAGTTCTTCATTCAAACATCATGATTATCATCATTACAGAACATGACATGTTACGGATTAGTAAGCTGAAGTGGCAATGGGCCGGCCATATAGCTCGAAGAACCGGTAACCGATGGGGAAGAAAGGTTCTCGAGTGGCAGCCTCGAACCGGTAGGCGTAGTGTAGGGCGATCCCCCACTAGATGGAGTGACGACCTGGTAAGACGTGCAGGAAGTCGATGGATGCAGGTGGCTCAGGACCGTGCTTTGTGGCATTACTTGGGAGAGGCCTTTGTTCAGCAGTGGACTAGTGAAGGGCTGTAATGATAATGATGAATGATGAGAACTTCATATTCATTAACGTCGTTTCTTAGGCGAATAATATTTTGTTAAATTAACTTACTATTATAATAAGTGACCCTGCAACAATAACACCGACGGCTGCGCCAACACACCAAGCAATTAATAAGTCCCGATCTAACTGTAAAAAATTTGGAGGATCTTTTGTATCGTCCACAAAAAAAGATGCGGTCAAATGTGTCTTGATGTTTTCTGCGATACGACGTTTTCCAGCTGATGATCCATTTAAACAGCCACCTTAAAAAATAATTTGAAGACGTAATTCCGTGAATTTATATTTTTTTTATTTCTAAACTCTTTAGATTTTAATGATTTCTTAAATTTACGCGAACACTACACATTGAATAAAACTAAATTTACGGATTTTATCGCGTTTATTTCACTACTTTTACTTATTTTTAATTCCCGACGTTTCGGGTGCTTTACAGCAACCATGGTCACGGGGGGGACTGAGATGTTTGACGTCCCAATGTCATAGTTAGTCCGGCTACCTTCAGTTTTTGAATATTAATTTTTGATCGGATTTACGCAAAACGAGCTTATAGTATCATGAAGTCTTGCAGTGGTATGCTTAGGTTTGGGTTTAATTTTGTTAATTATAGGATCCCAAGCAGGTGGCAGCACCCATCCATCTTCTCTATTGAAATTTGGATGTTTTTTAATTTCAATAGCCTCGCGTATCATCCTTGGTAGGAATCGGTGTTCTTTTGCGAGAATTTGTGGTTTATCAAAACGAATGTAATGGTGGGGACGATCTTGAACATGTTCGCAGACTGCAGACTTCCCGGAGCGTCGGTGCTTCACGTCAGCTATATGTTCTTTCACGCGGGTTTTTATGGATCTTTTTGTTTGACCTATGTAAGAGAGACCACATTCACAATCTAACTTGTACACTCCTGCATCTTGTAGAGGGATATTACACTTGACGGTTGGTAAAAATTGACTAATCTTCTTCGGCGGCTTGTAGTATGTTTTAATAGAAGCTCGCTTCAAGATGTAGCCAACCTTGTCTGTGACTCCTCTGACATATGGTAGCACAGCAGGTACACGCTCGACTGTGGCCGGCTTCACTCGGTCACTGTGACGTAGGCGCGGGACCCGAAGCTTGTTGTCTTGCAATACTTGCTTGACGTGCTGAAGTTCGGCGGCCAGATGTTTTCTGTCACAGATCCCTCGTGCTCTCTGAAACAAAGATTTACCCACGGTAGCTAACTGTGAAGGATGATGGTGAGATTCACCATTTAAATATCGGTTGGTATGGGTCTTTTTTCTATACACAGTGTGACCAATTGTGTTATTAGGATTTCGAATGACTAAAACATCTAAGAAAGCTAAAGAATTATTTGCCTCTAACTCCATTGTGAATTGTATTTTAGAGTTTATAGAGTTAAGGTGGTTTAAAAATGCAGTTACTTTGTCAGATGGTAAAATTGTGAAAGTGTCATCTACGTACCGCTTGTAGAATCTTGGATTTACAGGAGCAGTAAGAAGGGCTTTCTCCTCAAAGTCCTCCATGAATATGTCAGCGACTATGGGAGATACAGGTGAGCCCATCGCCACACCATCTACTTGCTTGTAGAACTCTTCCTTCCACAATAGATAGCCAGATGTGAGGCAGTGTTTGAGTAATACTGCATATTCAGCAGGCATGTTATTATATTCTAGCTTCCTAGTTACAATTGATATGCAGTCTTCAATAGGTAGGCATGTGAATAGTGACTGAACATCAAAACTGACCATAGTTTCATTGTCAGCGAGATGTAGGTCTTTTATCTCACTAACAAAATGGTATGAATCCTTTGTGTGTGCTCTGGTATGTCCTCTCAGTGGTGACAGTACTTTTGCCAAGTGTTGTGCCAGCTTATAAGTTGGTGAATCGATCTGGCTCACTATAGGACGTAGTGGAGCGTTTGGTTTGTGTATCTTTGGTAACCCATACAACCTCGGTGGTTTGGTACATGATGGTATTAGCGAATTCACGTCGAGATTTAATTTTTCGGAGTGTTTCTTTACTAAATCGCTAGTTGATTTAAGCGTGTTAGTTGTGGGGTCTGTTTTGACCTTTTTGTATGTACTTTCGTCCGATAAAAGCTGTAGTATTTTAAAATTATACTCTGACGTGTCCATTATTACCGTAGCATTTCCTTTATCCGCGCGGAGAATCGTTAGATCTGGTCTGTTCCGTAAGTTAATCAACGCTGTAAATTCGTCTTTAGGAAGGTTTGGTTTCGGCACTGAACTACGACGTAACAAGGACGAAATATCTTGACGTATAGCCTCCAAATCTTCCTTACCAATATTATTTTTAAACAGACAATCCTCAACGCTGCAGATAATTTCTTCGTACGGGATTTTTCGCGGTGTTAATGCGAAATTCATTCCCTTCGCTAACACCTTTATTGTTGGTTCGTCCAGTGTCCCTTCTTACTGCTCCTGTAAATCCAAGATTCTACAAGCGGTACGTAGATGACACTTTCACAATTTTACCATCTGACAAAGTAACTGCATTTTTAAACCACCTTAACTCTATAAACTCTAAAATACAATTCACAATGGAGTTAGAGGCAAATAATTCTTTAGCTTTCTTAGATGTTTTAGTCATTCGAAATCCTAATAACACAATTGGTCACACTGTGTATAGAAAAAAGACCCATACCAACCGATATTTAAATGGTGAATCTCACCATCATCCTTCACAGTTAGCTACCGTGGGTAAATCTTTGTTTCAGAGAGCACGAGGGATCTGTGACAGAAAACATCTGGCCGCCGAACTTCAGCACGTCAAGCAAGTATTGCAAGACAACAAGCTTCGGGTCCCGCGCCTACGTCACAGTGACCGAGTGAAGCCGGCCACAGTCGAGCGTGTACCTGCTGTGCTACCATATGTCAGAGGAGTCACAGACAAGGTTGGCTACATCTTGAAGCGAGCTTCATTAAAACATACTACAAGCCGCCGAAGAAGATAAGTCAATTTTTACCATCCGTCAAGTGTAATATCCCTCTACAAGATGCAGGAGTGTACAAGTTAGATTGTGAATGTGGTCTCTCTTACATAGGTCAAACAAAAAGATCCATAAAAACCCGCGTGAAAGAACATATAGCTGACGTGAAGCACCGACGCTCCGGGAAGTCTGCAGTCTGCGAACATGTTCGAGATCGTCCCCACCATTACATTCGTTTTGATAAACCACAAATTCTCGCAAAAGAACACCGATTCCTACCAAGGATGATACGCGAGGCTATTGAAATTAAAAAACATCCAAATTTCAATAGAGAAGATGGATGGGTGCTGCCACCTGCTTGGGATCCTATAATTAACAAAATTAAACCCAAACCTAAGCATACCACTACAAGACTTCATGATACTATAAGCTCGTTTTGCGTAAATCGGACCAAAAATTAATATCCAAAAACTGAAGGTAGCCGGACTAACTATGACATTGGGACGTCAAACATATCAGTCCCCCCCCGTGACCATGGTTGCTGTAAAGCACCCGAAACGTCGGGAATTAAAAATAAGTAAAAGTAGTGAAATAAACGCGATAAAATCCGTAAATTTAGTTTTATTCACTCTTTAGATTTTGTCAAGCATGCAAAAAATTTTTATTTTTCATTATTTCTCAAATATTTTAGCCTTTAGAAATTTATTCAAAATTTAAAAAATATATTTTAATACTTAACTATTTTTAAAAAATAACGTGTTGTTAATTGAATTAAATTATTTATACGACTCTTACAGCCTTTAATTTTACTTTTTTTTAATCCCGACGTTCCATTTAACGCGATAGATCCATTAAACAAAATCGTTTAAAAAAATCGTTACTACGAATCAATTTTTTATAACTTACCCAAATCTTTGTCACAATGGCAGCAATCCATTGTTTGATTTAGGATTAAGAACATAGAAGATATGTTTTCCATGCAACACGGCAAACATTTGTGATTCACTCTGCAACACAAAATAAAATAGGCCTTTAGAAGGGATATGTGCCAAGCTTGGCAGGCGGGTTGGCTACTGCAGATTTTATTTTGTTTAGATTGTATTTTTATCAGGAAGATGCTGGGCAGCAGCATGACCTGTTTCATTCCCGCTGTCTCCTCTTACAAACCCACGGGATGTGTGTTTGGTTTACATGGTATGCTATTTGAATGTTGTTATGTAAATATAAATACAAGTAGTTAGCTTAAAATTTCCAAAATTATTTTCATCAGGAAAATAGTTTCTAAGAGATATTATACCTTAAGAATAAATATAAATATAATCTCTATATATTATCTTACTATATTACCCACAGAATACTATAATACACAATAGAATGGCTGTCAACCTTATTTCATACGAGGATCGGTGTCACCGGGAGCACACACAAGAAATTACGTCGTATTATCACTACTACAAACCCGATTCGCTGTATTGATAGACTGAAAGAATTTACACATTTTAGACTTTTGATTAACGTTTCTGAGATATCAATATTTCTTTATTTTTGTAAAATCTAATATTTACAAAATATAAATGGTTTCGTCGTACTAGTTTAAGGATATGTCTCCTTTATTTAAATTTCATTTCCCGCTGTGCTTTAGACACGTAATTAATGTACAATTTGCCATTTTTTAAATAATTTACACGCAGAGACGCTTGACAACGAAAATTGAAAACGATTGATTGTGTTGACATTTATAGGTGTGAATTGACATGTTAGTGGCTACACGGGCTCCGCTCACTCCCCCGTTCTATTATGTACGTATTATAGTATGCTATGATACAATGATTTCTTATATTTACTCGAACACTTCACATTGAAATGATACTAGTTTTTACGGAATTACGGACTGAGATGTTCAAAGTCCAGATGTCATAGTTAACCGCGGTTACTATAGATTAAAATTTAACTTTTGTTAAATTTTATCAATTAATCTATGGTAACCGCGGTTAACTATGACATCTGGACGTTGAACATTTCAGTCCCGCCCGTGACCATGAGTGCTGTAAAACGTTCGAAACGTCGGGTATTTAAAAAGTTAAATATACGCGATAAATTCCGTAAAAACTAGTATTATTTCAATGCTATGATATTACCACTGCTAGTAAAATTTAAAAAGTAAGCAGTTTATCTATATATTTTCGGTCTATATTAGTGCATTGTTTGATGTGTGAAGCAATCATAGCAGATCATTTGTTTTATTTTTAATAATATTTACCTATCTAATCGAAGTGGGTGGGCACATGTAACGCAACTGGTAGGTCCAGGTCCTGAACAAGATCGGCAAGACTCATGGCACGGACGGCAAGTTCTTGATCTGGGCTCATAATATTGAGAACTAAGGCATTCAATACACAGACCATTTTCCAAGGAAAAGTGATGTGGACACGAAGTACATCGTTGCGGTCCAGCTCCATGACAATCTTGGCAATAATGATGACAACGACGGCAACTGTCACCCCAGGGGAAAAAGTTCTGCGGACATTCCGGTCTACACTCTCCGGCTGCTAATCGCCAATCGGGAGGACAAGACGCACATTGATCTCGCCTGGGACCTGTACAGGTTTGGCAGGACAAATAACATTTGGAACATATTCCATCATCAGGGTAGTAGCCCTGTGCACAGATTCCTCTACATGTTCCTGATTGTAATCTTAAAGCACCAGTACAAGATGTACAATTTAATCTTGACACGCAAGCTGAGCATGTATGTGGACAATGAGAACAACTTCCTGCCGTTTGAAAATATCCTTGTCCACATTCTGCAACGCATCTAAAACACAAGTAATTTATTGTCCTCAGATTTGTTTAAATGCACCAAATATTTACTATAATAGGTGATTCTTACCTCGAACCCTGCAACAATAAAGGAGTAGAACAGGATAAACAGTCCCACTCATTAGGTCCACTGCATTTCTCACAAGTTGAATGACAATTTTTACAATGACCTGCTTCGTAATATTCACCTTGAAAACAAATTATATGTTGTTTTATTTATTTTATATTAAATGGTCAAAGAATTTACAGTCAACCACAAAACACCATATGACAAATGAAGACATATGATGATGGTAAGTTGCTACTGCAGTGCAATGTTACTTGCAACCAACTTAAAACCAAGAAGACTACAGATGAGTTGTCACCTGTGAGAACTAGGATGGATAATCTCACATCGTGTAATCATTGAGGCTCTCTATAGTCTTCTTACCAGAATACAGCAGTGCACGTACTGCTGCTTTGCAGCAAAATCAGGTATGAGGGTGGTATGGTGGTGTTACTGTATTTGAATTAGTTTAATTCCATATTTAAAACTTACAACCTTATATTAATAAATGTGTATTATTAGTGATTATTTATTAATTAAAATAAATATAAAGAATATTTCGGTTTAAATAAAACTAGTTTTTAAGAATTATATCGCGTATTATTTTATATTCGCGACCTTTCGATGTGAAGAATCGACGCTCGGGGAAGTCTGCAGTCTGTGAACACGTACAAGATCTCCCCCGTAAGATTTGAAAGACCACAAATTCTTGCTAAAGAACACCGATTCCTTCCAAGGATGAATAATGATGACGAGGCTTATGAAATCAAAAAATATCCTAATTTCAAAAGAGATGGCTATGTGCTGCATGGGATCCTATAAGTAATAAAATTAATTCCCAACCCAATCATATAACTGGAAGACTTCAAGATACTATAAGTTCACACCGCGTAGATCGGAATAAAAATTATTAATTTTAATCTGGAGGTAGCCGTGGTTTGCTATGACATAGGGACGTCGAAAACCTCAGTCCCCCCGTAGCCATGGGTGCTGTGAAGTACTCGAAACGTCAGGAATATAAAGTAAGTTATACACGATATAATCCGTAAAAACTAGTTTTATTTAAATGTGTAGTGTTCGCATAAACATAAGAAATCATAAAATTGTAATGTAATATAAAAGTGACATGCACCAACATCGCAATTTTAAGTACTTGCTCATCGGTGAAGAAAAACTCCCTGATGAAATCTGTACGTCTGTGGAAATAAAATATTTCGGTGATTGTAGCCACTTTATTAGCCTGAGTAGGCTTGAGTCCTCAAATTACGAAAACAAGAACATACTTCGAATAATAAGCAGAACACCACGTTAATTTGAAGTAACGCCGAGACCATGCTCAACTTCTTGACACGCACTCTAACATTTTTCTTTCTATCATTATCATACCGTAAATATCTACTACTGGTCGTATTATATACCCAAAAATCATGTTGTTAGTTGCATAATAGGATTTTCATAATATGTCTTTACAATAAGTAAGTGAATGCGTGTTCTTAGGATAAGTTGAGCATAGTTTCTAAAGTTTCATAGTTATCAAGGACCAGCCCAAAGGATTAGTAGCTGAAGTGGCAATAGGCCGGCACCATAGCTCGAAAAACCAACAACCAATAGGAAAGAAATGTTCTCGAACGGCAACCTCGTACCTGTAAATAAAGTGTAATTCGGCCTACCTCTAGATGGTGTGACGACCTGATAAAATATGCAGGTAGTCAATGGATACGAACGATGGTGGTTAAGAACCATACTTTATGGCATAACTTGTGGGAGGTCTATTTTCAGCGGTAGACTTTTGATGGGCGGTAATGAGATGATGAATTTTAAGGTTTCGGCATTTCTTGCAGTGCAAATAGTGTTTAGTCGCTTTTGGGCGTGACGGACTCATCCTTGCCCTAAAATTCTTTAACTTTTAGAGGAGGGCTTGTGACGTTTACTTAACTTTCACTTCAAGAAATGAAAATAGCCTACTGCTTAATACGGGCATAATTTTAGTTACTCCTTTCATTTCAGACAGTGCTCTTTTTGGAAAACGCAGGACACATAAAAGACTATCATTTCATCCGTTCGAATTTTGTAAAATATATACCTACTTATTAATTTAGCTCTATTGGTTTACTTTAGGAAGATTCTTTATTTATAATATCTTCCAGACCGAAATTCGGTCACGGCTTGTAATCTCAACGGAATTTATCCATTTGCGCAGAACAGGAATATAGTACATAAATGTGTGCGTAAACACATGTGCACTCTTAATTCCCTCATCGTCATTAGACAACGATGGGATGGAAATGAGCATTAGACCAACAGCACAGTCAAAAATATTTATACATATGAATAAAGTATAGCGTACATTTACATGAATAGCATATATGCTATTCATGTATATGTACGCTATACTTTAAGGTATAAATTGTTTAATACTATACTCACTAGTATCACACTTTTCACTGCCTTCAGGAATACATTTCCCTCCTTTTGTGAGAACCCATTTCTCCATACAAAGCGAGCAAATGGCATATGTACATACCGCACATCCTAAAGGACACCTGCAAATAGATGGACACGTTTTTTTAACAAATACATAAAGTTGCAGCATCGTTTTACACAAATAAACTACCATTATGCAACTTACGGTAAACATTCCCTCCTTTGAACATCCGCGTAGTACTCAATGGGGCACTGAGTAATGCAGCGATTCTTGTAAGCGTAATGTCCTATACGACATGAAACACACTCTGTGTCATTTGGACCACTACATGATTCGCAACTTTCATGGCATAGTTTGCATCCAAAATCATCCTTTTGGAAAGTTCCCGGTGGGCATGACGCTAAACAAGAGCCACTATACAAAACATAACTATGAGCACACGAAGAACACATATCTGCTTTTTCAGCACAAGTGTCACAATGTTCAGCACAAGGAAAACAAGCATTTGCATCTGGATCTTCGTAATATCCATCTGGACATTGTTGTAAGCATACCGCTAAATCTGTTACTAGTAAGTGAGCCGGAGCACAAGTGAGACAAGAGTCTTGACCGGCACCAGCACAGGTTTCACATGATTCGTGGCAGGGCCAACACACTCCGCCTTGATTTACAAAGCTTCTAGGAGGACATCTGGAAACACATGAATTGTCCAAACGATAATGTTTACATGCCACACACTGCGTAGGACCTTTCCCATAACAACCTTGAGAATCGCATTCAGGGTCACACATTCTTTGTACTTGCTTATCGTTGGCATCTGCAAGGACGTTTTTCCTCTGTGCTGATGGAATATTGTTGCTATTACTCTTTCTATCTGATAAGCCTAGCTCAATTTCGTTTAAAAACTGTGAGTATTCTGAGACGTCGTATACATCATTTATATGATAGCTATTCTGATTCTTGTATAGGTTATTTGAATCAAAATAACTTTTATTTCTTAATCTTACTGGATTTGTTGCCGTTCCATAAAATATTAACTGCCACTTTTTAAGGACACCAATTTGAGTCACATGATTATTTCCCGCATTTATTATTTGTAAAGTCCACCGTCCTTCTGCATTTTCACCCCAAAAATGTACACTTAAGAATGGCCAGTCATCGAAATTGGAACTTGTTGCGTCATGTGTCCTTTCAAACAAAAGAGTTGACGTAGTTCCCATAGGCGAAGTGAGTAAAATTCTTAAATTTCCCCTAGGAAAAAAACTCAGTGAGATTTTGCATTGGACGTGTTCTAAGAACCTGACTTCGTTCATAGTACCACTACAACCGTTTACATCCATATGTACTGAAATGGTATAACCGAAAGAAGTTTCAATTGATTTGTCTTCATTTATTTCCTGTGACTTACAAATATGTTGCGGCGGTACACTAACCCATTGCTCTGCCAAAGAAACCATTTGTGCAGCATCCATTAGGCCGTATCCAAATTTGTGACTCACTTTTCTTTTAACTCCGTTTACAATCCACCCTTCCTCTTTTTCCAATGGTTGCGATCGTGAAGTCATAACAATAAGGTGTTGCATATCTCTCCAAGTTAATAAAGGATTTGCTTCCAATGCTAAAGCACATATTCCCGCAGCCAAGGGTGCTGAGGCAGATGTTCCAGTGTGGTCCATTGTGCAGATATGGTCAGGCCTTAATTGCACGTCCATATCTACTGTTGCAACACTCTTATCCCGCCCAGGAGTACCGGAACTGTACGTCGATGCCAAAGTAGATGAACACTCCTCTAAATACCATGGTTTGTACCCGCCTTGTGTAGCACTCGATATAGATATTGTAAATATGCTATTTGCGTAACCATCACAATTACAGGAATCTGTATGTCTTCCGCCGTTGCCTGAGGCCCATATAAAAATAGATCCTTTACCACCTCTGCCATTAGTAACACCATTAATGAAAGCTCTATAAATAAAAACACAATTTAATAAGCTTGACGCTAAAATATATTTTAAACTTATTTATATATACAGAATTAAATATATCAAAAATACCTTCTTGCTAGAGGTCCTGGCCCATCAACAGTCTTTCCGTCATCCTCGGGTCCCCATGAAGCACTATAAATATCGATATGATGAGTATTAAAGCCGAGTGCTTGAGCTTCTACTGCGTCATTTACTAAACCATCTAGCATCCTAACACCTCCAATGCTAGCGTTATACGCAATGCCGACGCCACAGTATCTATTATATGCAACAGCAGCTACTTCCCCGGCACATCGGGTACCGTGTTTATTGTCACCATTGTCTTGAGGCGTTGGGTCTGTATCATTCCCATTTATATCAGTTGATGCAGCTGGATCCTAAAATAAGGAGATCGATAAATATAAATTTTATATTGTTTAATTATTTGATATAAAATTTTCCTACAGGAATATTTGTAATATTTTATAATTTATATGCTGAAATCTACTTACATAATTTTGTATTAAATCTGGATGATTGGGTTGTATTCCGTCATCCAATATTGTAATTACAACCCCTTTTCCCGTATATCCTTTTCTCCAAGCATAACCAACATTCATATCTAATCCACCCGCCGCACCGCCATTCTAAATGCATTAATATTAACGATATTTATTATATAAAATAAGGATACTTCATTCGGATGAAATTATGAAACCAGAAAAAATATTAATAACAGTTACATTTTATACGATAACTGTTAAACAATTTTACTTAAGTTAATTTAGTTATGTTATTTCATATAATTGTAATATTTATCACTAGTACGATATAAAAAATAATTCTTCATTAGAGTTTATGTGAGTCCACTGCTGAACATCAGCCTCCTCCATAAAGCTACATGGGGGCATTATGACATAGTTGCCACGCCTGGCGAGTGGATTGGCAACAGCAGTTTTTTATTGTTATAAGCTGTTATTAGGAATATTCTTCTGCCCATCCTGTTTCAGTTTCCCTTCGTCGCCTCCTACGACATCCACGAGTGGTCCCGTGCCCTAAGAAGAGCGATCATAGGAAGTCAATCTAAGAATTACCGTTGAATTGTGTGCTAACGTAAATAAAAGTATATTTTCGCGACAGTTGAGGTATTTTGCAACTAAAAGATAGTATATTTTTTTATAAATATGCATTTATTCGTATAAAAAAGATTATAAAAATAAAAAATGTAAAAGGAGGAAAAAGTTCCTACTAAATACTAAATACTATATATTCAACACTAAAATGTAACTTATAGATTTTATTTATTTATTTTAACTTATATGTTTAACATATCTAACACTTATCTAGATAAAAAAGTTTTTTTTACATGGCAATTTTCGCAAAGTTGATACAAAAGCATCAGAATTTAATAGAAGTCTTTGTAAAATGTCGGTGTTTGTCAAAACTCGTGACATTTTACGAATATTATATAATTTAATATTCTTATTGGATGACTCTGCAGCTTCTTCAGAGAGCTCACCTATTGATAAAAGAGCAAAGTCAATCACCTCAGACCCATGAATCAAAACTTTATGCACAGAAGCTTGTAAATTATACCAAGGATACCCTTGGACAAGCTTTTCAGAAGTTTGTAGAGCGTCTTTAAATTTACTCGTATTAATTTTGGAACCTGATGAAAGACATTGCTTATTATTGACTTATACCTATCGAACTTATAGCTCCACCATTTTCTGGTTCCTCCGAGCCAGATTCGAAGGGGCAGCCTATGCCCCAACCAAAATTGTTAACTGCAATTTTAAGTACTGATTTGAACTTTAATTTTAACAAAATATTTAGTACAAATAGTTTTAATTAGTACCTATTTTTAACTAATCACATGTTTAATTTGTTTGAACACGTTTTTATTAAAAGCTAAACATAAACTGTCTTACTACAAAAAAGTTAGACATCTGTTCAACACGTGTTTAGCAAATTGGTTACTACAAAAGAGTGTTTAACGGTGGTTTATGGATAGACATGGCTTAGAAGTTGTTTAAATTTAAACACCCGAAAACCCTTGTTTAACTAGTGTCTAACCTATCTTTCCGACAGTTCAGTATTTTTGTTTAACATGGATATAATTGATTTTGTTGATTACTTCGATGAAGAGGAAATGGATAATGGATGCGAAAATGTTTCGAGAAAGTAATTCGGATTCGGTTCGTATGACGCCAAGTTTAAGAAAAAATATAATTTCAGCAAACTTTTTGCTAGAAAAATAGTAGATCTTGTGAAAGACGATATCCCGAGTGATTATTGTGGTAATACAATAGATCCAGCAGTGCAAGTGGCTTGTGCATTACGGTACTGGGCTCGTCATCAAGTAAGTTCAATTCATACAAAATTAAACTATGCTTACGTGTGGCGTCGGTAGAGAAGAATAGCTTCACCCATCACAATGTATGTTTGCGGATTATTTTCAATTTTATTTGTTTTTGTTCATAAATAAAATAAATCATGAAACTTTAACAAAAGATATAGATACATATATATATATATATATATATATATATATATATATATATATATATATATATTTACTATCGAACTTTGAGACAAAACAAAATTAAATTTTTACGTAGTTAGTCGTATTAATTTGCGTAAAACAAAACGAATTATCGAATGCTGAACAAATGTATTGCAATGTGACCTAAAGAATAAACATTGTTAAAGATAAACGCTGTCTAAAGAGGCAGGCGTTAAACACGGTTTAGTGGTAGCGAAATTTAAACCATTGTTTAACATGTGTTTATCATTTAAGTCCGTGTCTTACTAAACACATGTTGGACCAGTGTTTAAATGCTTTTTAGTAGTAAGAGTATTAAATAATTATAATTGTAGTTACTGAACGGTTATTTTAGTAACAATAACAAAACAAATAATGCTATTTTCTTACCAAGTACCATTGTTCTTTAAACAATGGGTCAGGGAAGGGCGGCGGGTTAGCCTGATGCATTATATTTCTTGGTTTCCATTGATGGTCCCTTTTTGTTCTCCTTAATTCTCTTTGCTGCATCACCCATCTGACCTGTTAGTATAAACGATCTTTTAATTTTAACATTTATAATAGCTATTGAGTAAGGTGAAAGAAGCGAGAGAGTTGTGTCTAGTTCGTGTCAATCGGGAATCCGTAGTCTTGTCCTACCCCTCTGTGGGGTAAAAGTTTATGTATTTATGAATAAGATGTTGACGGTCGCTTGGATTATGATTTCAGTTCCAGAATTCGAAAACATTTCATTCTCTGTTACTTCATATATATTTTTATTCATATATGAGCTGCATATAAAATCGTGCTTGTTATTGTGCTTGTGTGGGAGAGAATGCCTAATGGCATTAAGTCCGCCCTTTGTAATCTTTTTATGGTGCAATAAAGTATAAATAAATAAATAATAAATAATTGTTCAGCAACTTACGACTATAATATTTAACCCTCAAGTACCTGCCACCTACATTTGTAACGCAAGTACTTGCACGCGGTCACAGTGACTCCTATATTAAACCATGTTTTTTTTTTAAATGTAATATGAGTCAATAATGTAATAAATAATAAATGAAACGCACTTTAAGATTATAATAATGATATTGAAAAGAAAAAAAAACTGAATAACACAACATTTTCTTCTATGAAATGACAAAAACATAAATGCAGGCATATTTCTCTCAAAATTAACAATCATCTTCAAATAATGAGATTATTCAAAGTAGGAACTTAAAATTGGAGCAATTTGCACTGTTTTCTTAATATCTATAAATATTTGAACAAAACAAAGTTATAAAAATATAAAAATTATGAACATTTGATAAAAATTGCAGAGGGTAAAATTTACAATTTTTCATGTCAATTTTGGCACATTTTTGGCGCACTCCAAACAGATGGGTTTTTTTACACATAAAACATAGGTGAAATGTTTTGCGTCTTTTCTTGGGATCACAAGTGGATCACAACAGCTGGGTATTTCATCTTCAATTTTCAAAATGCGGTGTATTGAATATTTTATGTCCCGAGGAGTGTTTTGATTACCCTCTCGCCGTCGCATGTGTGGTGCCGTCAGCTCTTATGCTAGCCGTTTCATAAATTTGAATTTGCTTCCAGATCTCTGTGTTTGATTGTGTGAATTTATGAGGTAAGCATTTGAAGCAGATATATCCAGCAGCCGATAAAAAATTACCAAGGGCCATCTTTGCGTTCGTTGGGCCGTTGAATAATTTGAGCAACTTTGATCCAATAAATCGACGGCAATTTTAGTCTGGTTATAATAAATACATAATAACTTCTGGCTTCTTGGTATTTTCATCTACGCTAGCTGTGAAGCTAGTGCTGTGAAGACACAAATCTATTCTCACCGGTAGAATGATCGTCGTCGATTTCCTCTTAAGATGAAATACCCAAGTAGTCATCAGACTCGCAGTCTTCTATAGGCACGGGATTGTCAGAATAAACGGAGTCCACATCGCTGCAATCTTCTTCACGGGTCTCCTCTTCATCCGACATCTATTCTTCTAACCATCTTGTTATATTTTCGTCGTTTTTATTCATGTTGACACTAAAACAAAACAAATACAAGTAATACAAAATAATCACGTAACTTCCTACGCGCGGTCACCATGACCGCTCACGAGATTTTTTCACTCACCCAAGCTAAACGCATGCACGTGAAGCCTCGTTGAGCGCATGCGCGACACTAATCGACAAGTATAAAAGGTACATAGACGCACTTCAACGCGAAGCAAATAAAAAAAAAGCGTAGCCGTTGAACGGAAAAAATCAAATTCAAAAATTCGGCGGAGTCACGGTAACCGCGAGCAGGAACTTAAGGGTTAATACGAAACAAATTTTAGCCATCATAAGTTACTATACTATTATTTGGTCTCATAAATGTTTTTTTCTTCATGTGTTTAGTGTAAAATTGATCGTTCGGGAAAAATAAAAATTTCTTATATATAAAAAGCAGGCGGTAATAGTGATTTCAACTAGCCTAGCCTAGCTATAAATAATGCGACCGAAAATATTTGAAACATAATATAATTAAAAGATAACGGAGTGGAATTATTCATAACTTTATGTTCTTTAATCTAATATTTCAGATCTAAACCAGATATAGAGCTATCCTATATTAGAGGATATTATGCAGCACGAATAATTCAGCTTGATCGCGAAAATAAAATTAAATAATATCAAAGCATCATATTCCTTTTGTATTTCAAGTGATAACGTGTTTTTTTTTACTGTAGGGTGCTCCTTTTTCCTTTTTTATTAGTACTTATTACAACTAGAAAATTTTTAAATTCTAAACACGCGAGTAATAAAGTAGATAAAGTTACAAAAACGCTAATAGCAGCCGTAGTATAATTATGAAAGTGGACTGATCTTTTCTTTACTTTGGTTTTGCCTTGACGCTACGTCGTATTCGAAAGAGGCATATTAGAAATTCACAAGAAAAATAAGACTAAAAACTGACGGTCGTAGCGTAAAATGCAGTAGAAGATTAATTAAAAGACACACTGTAGGCTAGCTTCCAGTGTGTTTGGACGACACATAAAAAGCCAAAGTACTCAAAGGTAACATAGAAGAAAAGTTGTTTAGGCACATTTAATTATGTGGGAATTTGTAAAAGTGAAATTATCATGATGAGAAAAGAAAGAGACAGAAATCACTTAAATCTATTATTATACATAATAATATATTGAAAAATTTGTACAACTTTGTGCAATCTTTCCATATTTTTCTCTATACTATGTGCGCTGTAGCATGGCGCGGGCAACAGTTGCCTGTATGACGTTGACATCTGTCAGTACCATGCACCTAGTCATGATTAGGGATGTGACGTTATAAGGGCCTTTCCCGGCCCGTCTATCGTCAACGCGAGCGCAATGTTAGAAAAAGAGGCAAAGTGAAAAGAGAGAGATAGCGCCTGGGCGCTCGGTTGGCATTCGGTAGCTTTCGCCGCTCACTCGGCGTGCGGTCGACCACTAGTGTGGAGCTATACATGACAATATTTTTCGCACGACTCGTCCCCCGTATACCTCACCGCTACTTGACTAACAAGCAAGTGAGAACGCGATAACATTGAACGAAAAATAGTGTGCGGTAATTTCATAAAACTTGTTCCAGGAAATACGTGTTTTTCAGTAAGCCTTACAAGTTTGTGAAATAAATGTTTATTGTTTAGAAACTTCATTACATTTGCGAGGTTTCTATGAAAATATTTTCTTTAGTTTTATAATTTATGAGTACATTATGAACGGCCAAATTTTAGGTAAAATTTGTGCGAAAAAACAGATTTTTGTAGGTTTATACTGAATTAGTTTCTATAAATTAAATAAAAAAAATTCAAATAAAGATCTATTACAACGCCATGATCACGTACGAGCGTTTGTATGAAAAGCAAGACGGGTAGACCGTTCTTAAGCAATTCATTTTTATCGCTGACGATACTCGCAGCATAAATCTATTTAATGAATTATTATTATTATATCATCATAAATTGTTATTTAATTGGTATTTATGATGAGCCTCCGTTATCGCGGATGTACTTATGCGTAGTTTTTAGGGATTAAACATTTATCGACTATTTTCTACGCGATATTTCAAACCTACTTATAACATTATGTGTGATAGATAGATAGAATTTAAATAAAACAAATAAATAACGTGTATAAATTTGTCAGTATAAATATTTTCTTTGTATTTATATAAAATTATCAAAAATCGGGTTTATATTTTCTTTTTTCATGACATTTTTTCTCTATGGCGCATCGGCGCGGCGGTTATTGTGTTTACCCGTGTGTAAGATGCTGTCAGTACGAGTCTGGGCCTTTGTAGTTAGAACTATGGAGTGTAGAAGTAAGGAGTACCAACTCTCATAGTAGAATAGTTGAAAAGGTGGCCATCTGTAAGCAGTAAATAACAGTTCAAAAACTCTCCACAACAGCGCTATAGTAGCTACTGGGATGAAATGAACTTAGCAGTTGTCGACGGTTTAAGTGTGCTGCTAAACTGCTCAGTAGCTCTAAAATCTAAAATAATTTTATTTAGTAAATATAACCTCGAAAAAGTCGTCTATCCCACTAATATTTTTCGATGCATTCTTTAAAATTTACACCGTAGTTATAGTGGCGCCACCCTTATTTAACGGTTTTCTATGGACACTTTTTATTACACAGTCTGTACTCCTTACTTCTACACTCCTAGAACATTTTTCTGTTCTATAGAAACTGGCATTTCATATTTAGTTCCACAACTCCCCAAAGGACAGCGCTGGAGTAAGTTTACGTTCGTAAGAGCGTTGTTTTAATTAATTAAATCAAATTAAATGATCTTATCACATTTACTAAATCGACGTTTTAATAATGTGAATTTAGATATTTTCATTAGAAAATGTTAAACAACTAATTTATTACTACTTAATTTAATTTAGCTGCTTTAAGTCTAGTTTATTCGTTTAATTGGAAGATGGAATATTAGTGTTTTAATTTCTAAACGTGACTAGCACCATTATGTTTGTTTTTGAATTTGACATTGGCGTTTTGTTTTGCTAGCGTAACGGATTGTGCTTTGAATGTTTTGGATTTTTGATATATTTCCTGTATTTTCTTACGACTTAGCTATTCTTGGACTCCGATTATCTTTGCCTAATACAGTGACCCACGCAAGTGAAAGGGACTTCGATTATCTCGCCTCCGGACATAGTTTAGTGATGGCCGCGGATAAAATTTGCTGTTTCAGGATGTACTAAAAGCCGTGAGTAAATCTAATTATTTACATGTTCTACCAGTCAATATATTATTTCTCTTTCTATTTTATATATAAGTCAGTGTCATCTCGGGCAACAATGTGATACCTAGCGCAGACGCAGGTAGCCCAAGAGTTCTACATCACTTTTCCACCCTTAGAGCCAATACTTTGCTATGTATACTTATAACACTACTACTTATGCTACTGTCATTGCACTTTTCAAAAACACCTCTAAAATATTAAATTTGTTTTGTAGGTACAGATGGCTTTATACTTCACAAATTTCCGAATCC